CGCCTTCTCTTCTGACGGCACAGCAAAGGATGTCACTGTAAGATATGTACCCAAGTGGCCTGGTCGGACAAGGGGTGTCCGCATGCCTATTGAGAAGATACCCATACACAACAAACGCGGCAAGGTCAAACGGTGGGAAGAGTGGGACTGGGTGAAGTCGCAAATGCGCCCCTATGCACGACCTCACGACAACCGTCAGCCATGGGATGAAGTTGAAGACGAAGGTGATCTTGTCTTGGTACAACCAGAAAAGAAGAAGGAAATGCACGAAGGCGGAAAGGAGACGCTACAGGGCTATAAGAACTCCACTGAATACGTGCTCGAGCGCCACCTGCGTCGCGAGGAAGCACTCCAACCTGGCGCCAAGATCGTCCGACATTTTACCTTCGGCACAAGCGGCAACGAGAAAACGGAGCCGGTGTATCTGCGAAAAGACGTTGTAAATTGCAAGACCCAAGAATCCTGGCACAAAGAAGGCCGAGAGGTACGTGAGGGTGAACAGCCCCTCAAGCTCGTACCCAGGCGGGCTGTTACGGTAACACGTAAACGCGAAATGGAAGAGCAGGAACGTCTTGAAGGCGAGAAAGTGAAACAAGGTCTTTTCTCTAAAGCGCAGACGGACTGGATCATTCCTGATCCTATCGTTGACGGCAAAATCCCACGTAACTCATACGGAAACATTGACGTCTATGTGCCCACGATGGTGCCGAAAGGCGCTGTTCACGTTCCACTCAGGGGTACGGCGCGCATATGTCGCAAACTCAACATAGACCACGCGGAAGCGTGTACCGGGTTCGAGTTTGGAAAGCAACGCGCTGTGCCTGTCATAACCGGTGTTGTGATTGCGCAGGAGCACGAGGATATGCTCATCGATGCTTGGGAAGTTGAAGAGGCGGAAAAACAGAGAAAGGAGAGAGACAAGAGGGAGAAGTTCCTGTTGGGACTTTGGAGAAAATTTGCGAATGGACTGAGAATCGTGGAAAGAATGCGAGAAGAGTACGGTGAGGATGTCGAATTGCCAGTGAAGGAAAAGGCGGTATCACCCGAAGAAGATGGTGGGGAGAAGAAGTCGCAATGGGAAGTGTTTCAGAACCACACCGATTTCGAGGGCGGCTTCATGCGCGGCGATGGCGCTGATTCTGGCGGTGGCTTCGTACCTGAACGGACGCACCAGAGTACACACCATGATGATGACATGGCTGGTGGTTTTCTACCAGCAAGTCAAGACGATCCTGAGCATGGGGATCTAACCATTGACCACGGCGAAAAGAAAGATGTGTCACGCGCGCCCATGGCGGAAAGTACATATCGCACACCGATCTCCCTCACGCAGGCGCTTCAGCAGCCGCTCAGCGAATCCAGCGAGCATCCTGATGAAGATGCGGACGAGGATATGGACGCGCCGGAACCTCCAGAAGACGAAAACAGCGACCAAGAAGACGAAGAGGATATGGCTCAACCAAAATCTACCCGTCGCAAGTCGAACGCCACATCTTCAAATCGTGGTCGTGGTCGTCCACGTGGTCGCGGAGCCAAACTCCTGACAGCGTCCACGCGAAAACGTAAGTCTACGGTCATAGAATCAGGGTCTGACAACGACACACCCTCTGGCGCTCCTTCCGACCCACCAACACCACCGCCATCTACACGTTCAGCGCCGAGGCGTAAGGCAGCCAGGAAAAGTGACGCACAAGTCAAGAGCCACTTCTTTGCCGAAGGAAGCGATGGTGAGACGGATATGACGGATATGACTGAGCGGAACTCGCCAAGGAAGAAGACGGCCGCGACACGAGGACGCGGGAGTGGCAAAGGCAGAGGGAGTGGACGGGGAAGAGGTAGAGCGGGGAAAGCCAAGTAGCAATACGAGAGTAGGGTATTGACACTGAGGCAGACGTGCAAAATCACTCGAGCTAATCTTGAAGATACGGTCAAAGGGCATGAATTCTGTCAGCCTGCACTAGGGCTAGGCCAGTGAGACAGATCTCACGATCCGCCTGTGCCAGTGCGCTTACCTCATCCGATAGCGCGGCGGAGCCCCGATCCAACTACCACATTACATCATCTCTTCCCCAGATTCCTCCCACATGCGCAAAATCCCCGAAACTCAAAGGCGCAAAGATGCAAAAACTTCAGCGTCGAAAAAATCAATAGTAACTAAGTATTGCCGCATTGAGCAGGCACTCGCGAGTCGACGCCATGCATGCAGCTCTGTTTTTAGAACAGCCCAGCGTCGCTAGATGCGCCTGGGCAAGTCTTGGTTCCGCCGCTGCATGCTCGCGAATCTTGGCAAACATCCGTACCCGACGTTCCCCCCTAACTCCTTCGCTCGAACAGTCAGCTTGCTGAAGCCAAGGTGCGCCGTCGCACAGCTGCGAATTGCTTCTTTATCGCCGTTCTTATCGCGCTGGGGGCTCTCCTATACCCGGCCTCTACATGAATGACAGCATGACAGCGGCGGCACTTCGATGGTCCGGCAGTGCTAACGGTGGTAGCGATGCGTTGTTGGGGTTTGCCTGCAGCACTGTTATCCCAATCGTACGCCAAAGTACGGTAGCCATGCTCTGGGCGCGGCCCATGTGGAAATCTCCCCCAACATCCCGAGTGCCACGCCCGCCGTCTCCTTCGTATTCGTTCTGAGCTGTGCCGGCGCGAGCGCTTCTTGGCTATAATGCGCGATGTTTGATCTGCGATACCTAGCTCGCACGCTCATTAGTTGCCAGAAACGTCATGCTTTCCGGTCTTTTTCTATCGATGCGTCGAGATGGGCGCCCGGGGTTGGCGTTTATAAGTATATTGCTGCTGCTGTTGTTTTATTTTATTGCGCCCCGTCCCTACACCGGCCTTTATCAGTCTCTCACTTTGCCAATCTTTTCCTTTGGCAGCAGTCACTCGCTTTAAAGACTTCGACTTTGGTCTTATTGTTAATTATTTAATTATTCGGAAGGATGCGCTTCTCCGAGTTCCTTACCGTCGGTGTTGTGGCGCCTCTTGTGGCTGCTCATGGTGGAGCCCCAGGGGCACCCAAGATGTTTGGTCTACCGAGAGACTTGCAAGCCGACTTCAAACCTCCTGTCGCTGCTCGTGTGCTTCGACACCCCGCTCAGCCAAGGGATGGCATGTTGGAAACCCGCCAAGGTGGTCAGAACGGTCGTTGCGGACCCAGCTTCGGTAACGCCAAGTGCGCTGCGGGCTACTGTTGCTCAGGTGCCGTATGTTGATCTTAGATCTTAGACTGTTACAATTCCTGACTTGCTCTAGGGATACTGCGGAACTACGAAAGATCATTGCCAGGCTCCTGACTGCTTGATTGACTTTGGTCCGGCTTGCGATGCCAACAAGACGCCTGGTGGAGCCAGCACACGCAACGACCCCCGTCCTCAAAGGGGCAGCGTCGCATACGGTGGTGGTGGTGTCTACGTCTGCAAGAAGGCTGGCACTGTCGCCATCACCTATGATGATGGGTAGGTTTATTCATAGCCCCACATATTGATAGCACGACTAATCAGAATCCAGCCCATACATCTACACCGACCGCGTCCTCGACCAATTCGCCACATATGGCTTCAAGGCCACATTCTTCGTCACGGGAATCAACCTCGGCAAGGGCGCAATCGACAGCACAGCGCAATGGTCCAACGTGATCAAGCGTATGGTTGCCGAAGGTCACCAAGTCGCATCGCACACATGGTCTCACCAGGATCTTAGCAAAATCACCGATGCGCAGCGCTATGATCAGATGGTCAAGAACGAAATGGCCATCCGCAACATTATCGGAAAGTACCCCACATACATGCGTCCTCCTTACTCGTCTTGCAACGACGCTTGCCAAACAGTGATGAAGAACTTGGGATACGTCGTCAGCTACTTCGACTTGGACACGGATGACTACAACCAGTTGTCCAACATCCAGGTTGCCAAGAACAACTTCAAGAACAAGATTGACACAACCGTTGGTGGTCCCGCTTCAGGTCACCGCCTCGCTATTGCCCACGACATCCATGAGCAGACTGCTCTCAATCTCACTGGTTACATGCTCGAGTACCTCAAGTCAAAGGGCTACCGCGGTGTCACCATGGGCGAGTGCATGGGTGAGCCCGAGGCGAACTGGTACCGTACTGCCACTTCCGGCGGCTCTACTACCCCTCCTGCCACCGGCGGCGGCGGCGGCAGCGGTACCGCTGTCTCCACTGACGGATCTTGCGGCTCTGGCAAGGGAACGTGTGCTGGATCTACCTTTGGCAACTGCTGCTCTCAATACGGCTGGTGCGGATCATCCACTGATCACTGCAGCGCCGGCTGCAACTCTGCCTTCGGAACCTGCACTGGCACTGGTGGCAGCGGTGGCGGCTCAACCACCCCCGCCCCGGCCAAGAAGGTCTCTACTGATGGCACTTGCGGAACTCAGGGTGGTGCTACTTGCGCTGGTTCAACATTCGGTAACTGCTGCTCGCAGTATGGATGGTGCGGATCTACTTCAGGCCACTGTGGTTCTGGATGCCAGAGCGGATCCGGCACTTGCAACTAGAACTTCGTTCATGAGAGGAGCATTTAGACCTTACTCGTGTAGAGGCGATGTTCGTAACGCAGCTCTGCATGCGTGTTAATATATCAAAATAATACAAACAAATACACATACTCTTACAATTCCTGACGTCTCCGCGACTGTGTGATCACTTTGGAGAATGACAACATAGTCAATTAGGAGCAGTGTCCAGGACGTGGTCGAGATATGTGAAGACTGCGAAATGCACTTCGCAGCGGCCACTTGAAGTGTTCGCGCATATCACCGAATACATGCTCGTGGCTGTTGCAGCAATGGAATTCCACACACCAGTCACAGGTAGTTTATGAATAGCAATGTCTACATCTTTTCCGCAACATTTGTAAAGACCTCTTCGTACGCACTCTAGCAAAAGTGGAACGAAGAATTACCACCCATTTCATACCATCAACCACTTACTTCGACTATCTAAGTCTCCTCATCCCTTCTCTCGAAAACTATGGCATTAGCCGTACTCCCGGCGATCATCGTCAGTTTTGTAATCGTCGTGGCATCGCTCGGTACATTCTACATTTACAGGGCATACAGGCGCGTGCGCTATGCAGTCCAGGATGTGGAGCGCAGCCGCCATATCGAAATCGCCTCTCTCTCGCAACAGCGCCCCATTGAACTACATGATCTCGAAGGTCCGCGCAAACAATATCATAGCGGTCAGTGGTACGGCTCGGAGGGTGCAGTTCCCACAAACGTCGCGCCGGCCGCGAAACCACTGCCGCATCCTCCGGGGATTGAGTACACAGGTGGTGAGGGGCTTGTTAAACCTCCTGGTCGAGTCTTTCTATCCACTGAGGTACAGCAACCTGAGCTGCTCTCTCCAAAGCCTGTGCGCACGGTGACCACAAGGCCGAAGGCAGAGCCTGCTAGTACCGCATATGACCCAGATCAAACGGCAGCATCGGAAATATGGAGCAAGATTGAGAAGGGAGAGCTGGAACCCTCGCGACGTAAGGCGCAGAAGAAGTCACCAAAGAAACCGAACGCATCAATACCCGAAGTACTCCGAGATCCTTCAGAGTTTGAACGCGACACCATGACAGACATCGACGTTGATAGCAGCACCAGAGAATGGGCAAAACCCAATCGCCCCGCGCTGCCCTTCACACCACGCTCAAACAAACGCGAGTCGTCTGATAGCATGGCTACGGTTGTCGACGCCAGTAACGCGAATATTGAACGCCCCCAGTCATACGTCAAGCGCAAACAAAGCATGGGCACAGGAGCGATCAAGCCGACTAAACCGCTAGATCGAGCTGCAGAGGCGCGCCGCCAGATGGCGGAAAGGAAAAAGCAAATGGCGGAAAGGCAGAAGCAAGAGGAAGCTGATCGTCTCGCAGAGCAACAAAGGCTGGTAGACGAACAAAAGCAGCGTGCAGCTGAACAACAGAGACTGGCTGAAGAGAAGCAGCGACAGGAAGACGAGGAAAAGGCCCGCTCATTGGCACAAGTTTTCGATGACGAAGACATCGATCTAGACGATAAGAGGCCTTCTGACTCTCAAAGATCGCGCACTCGCCGGAGATCCGACTCATCATCCAAGTCGAAGCGTGAGCGCAAGAGTCGTGATATGTTGCTCACAAGAACTCCCAAGCGAGCATATACCTTCGCGAATGACGCTTCTGATGGTGTCGATAGCCCCAACACAGACGAAAAGACAAGTCGCAACAGTAAGGGAAGCTCTAGAAGCATGAGTATGAACGATCAGGCAAGACCAGACTTTAACGCGACGATGCCCTCAATTGACGAGGGTGGCAATGTCAACCCCTTCTCTGACAATGCAGCGAGACATTCGTATAGTTCCACCAAGAAATCTGTCTCGTCGATGTACTCTAAAGACACGCCGGAGAACCCATTTACCTCTGACAAGGACCCCGAAGGTCGCTTCGCGACAGCGCAAAGATATTCGGCTGCGTCAAGTAACGAGAGTCGAGTGTCGTTCTCTCAAGTACAGCGAAGATCGAACGTCTCCAGCAATGAGAGTAGAAACAGCTCAGGTACGAACTATTCCAAACGCAGCGACAGTAAAGCTAGCGCAAAGAATCGTGCTTCTATAGATAGCCAAGGCAGTCAGCAGTCAGCGAACGGCCGTGAAAAGCCTGAGTGGAAGCCATCCGTCGCGTCCCGTGCACTCAGTAAACTCGGTCGCAAGTCAGCGTCATCGGATAGGAAGAAGGAAAGGGATTCTACGAGCTCGACACAATCTCGGGAAAATGAAGGACCAGGATTGCGAGGTGGAGGAAATATGTACGTGGAGGAGCCGGAAGAGCTGTCATCCTCTGAGGATGAGCATGAAGACTCAGCCAAGCAAGAGCAGAAAGTGAAGAACCGGGTGGAGATGCGCGGCGGTTCAGGAGAGACGGTCGAGAGCGAGAGTGAGGTTGAAACGGAGCACGAAGACGAAAGCGACGCTGCCGAGGTCGGAAATTTGGAGGACGAGCACTCGGATGTGAGCTCAAGCGATGAGGACGAGATTGCGAGCGAGAAACACGACTCCTCCGAAGACGAAGTCTCAGACGATGATGACGCGTCCGAGAATGCGGATTCGGAGTCCGAAATCTCTGATGCAGGCACTTCTGACGCCATTACTTCAGACGACGAATCTGAGGAGGAGGTTTCGGATGATGAGCAGGGCCCGGTACTGAAGAAGCCGTTTGAGGACGTGGGTGTCCAAGCTAGGAAGGCGGGCAGGGTCAAGGCGTGATGCATCGATGCTTCTATCTTCTTTTCCGCTAGTACGATTCCGCAGGCGCGAATCTCTCTTGCGCTCTTCGTATATATATGTGTCTTACTTGTAGTCCTGATACGGATTAATGCATGTTCTCGTTATCCACGCGACAACAGTGTCCAACATTTTGCCGCCTACTCGTGACAAGGTAGAAATCTATAATAATAACAAGCTACTCCAATACCTCAAGACGAATCCATGAAGTCCGATTACTGATCATCGCCTATCTTAGGCGATCGTTACACGTCAACCACGAAAAAAACTAAACAGGCCTGCAGCCTACATCGACATGATAACCTATAAGATAGATGGCCTGGCGTTGATGTAGGCTCTAGACCTGTCCAGGTTGTTCTTGTATGAGGTGGTTGTATTGTCTAGACACGATCGTCTACTCCGCCAGGTGGCCCACCTGCAACGCCCGCTGGTCCAAATCTACCTCGATGGCTCGCACTATTCTTGCTATCATCCGCCCCTTCGTCGTCATCTCCATCGTCGAATGTGGCTTCCGACATAAAAGGACTCTTTTTGCGAATCTCACGGCCTTTCAGGAGTAGCACCACAGGCACAAGACTCAACGCTAGTCCGACGAAGCCCAGTAGACTGCCAGCCCAGCCAAATCCTAGATTCTGGAAAAGTGAATATGAGGCAAAAGGTAGGAAGGCTCCGAACGTGTTACGACCAAGCGATGCGGCTGAAAGTGCAGAAGCAGCATATTTCTCGTAAGCATCCGTGAGGTAGTTGACTACACCCATGTAAATAGAGTAAATGCCCACACCAACGATGCAAATGCCTATCGCAGGCACGATCCAATGAATCTCTGGTCGACACGTCCATCCATACATGAACAGTCCCGCGGTGAACAGCAAGGAACCAGAAATGCTGGTATACAAGCGACCTTCCGGTATGGGCTTGCCCGGCCGTTCCTGGTTCTTGGATGCAGTGCGAAGATACATCCAATCCTGCAAGGGATTAATGAGCGTACCAATGAGCGCTCCAACGGTGATTGCCAGCTGAACAAGTCCTGTCTGAAAGGTCCCGAAACCATAGCTAGCGCTGAAGGTTTGGACGACTGAGGAGAAGAACAAGAAGAGGATACCCCAGGCGAAACTGATCCAAAGAGTGAAAAAGGTAACGACAGGCTCGGTAAATAGCATCTTGGTAGGTCGCATGAATGAAACCTTCAGCAGGCTGGCTATTGAGGGCTTCTCGAGCTCTGATTCTGCGTAGACTTCGCGACCGGTTTCTTTGCGAAGCTTCTGGGCGCGCTTTTTGAGAATGACGTCGCCACGAGTTTCCTTGAGGATCATGTAGAACACTGGGATTAGGGCCGCGTTGTAGATGATTTGGATGTAGTAGATCCTGCATGTTTGTTAGTTGGTTCAATCAGGGGATGCAAATGCTTACCATCGCCAAGGGGATTGTAGTCCAGTGGAAGGATAGCCAAGCTGTACGATTGCGCTACCCATGAAGGGTCCAAGAGCAATGCCAGCTACGGACGTGAAACCGAAAATGGACATTGGCAGACTCCGAGCTTTGTCACCTTTCCATACATCGCTAATGCTGCCGCCCACGATGTTGATGGAAACGGAAGATGCGCCACCGCCGAAGAAACGGGTGACGACCAAGGTTGCGAAGTCATCGGCAAAGGCTGAGCCGAACAGGAACAATTCAAACACGATATAGGCGACCTGCGTAGGGGTTAGCGATTTGAGGAGTTGTGCGGCCACGCAACAAACGTACAAAATATCCAGGCATTCTACCAGTGTTTTCGGTCAAAGGTACGAATAGTAGTGGGAAAAGAGCAGCACCCATATTCCACGAACACGTCGCCCAGTAAAGGTTTGGAAACGGCTCATTTTGAACGTTGAATCGTGTTGCCATGTACTCGTTTCCAGCGCCGTAAGACCCAGCCGGAAGACCTGTCAAGATGGAGATGAAGCAAACGGTTATTGTCAAGAACCATTTGTACTTGGTTGACCAGTTGAACCTGGTTTCCATCAGCAATTGAGTTCGGGTGGAACTTCGAGGTACGTACGGGTTGTCAGGATCTTGTGGACCGTCCCAAGTGTGGAGTTCGACCTCTTTGCCATCTTTCATGCGGGTCTGTACTTCCTTCTTGCGTCGAGGTAAAGATGCATTTTCTATCACGGATGAGCGAACATGCAATTGGAGTGGGTCACTCTGAAGGCGTACCCGTGTCGTCATTGAGCGACGCATGATGTGACATGGTGTATGTCGCTGTCAAAACACTAGCCGATCGTGAGGTGAGTGAACGTTAAAACCACTCTGAAGGTCGAGCAAACTGAAGGCTGTCGCATCGGTAAAGTATAGCGGTATGATGAAGATCCGGAGTGATCTCATAGTACTTGAGCCGCAGTTTGCTGGCCTTGTGACAGCGTTCGGCGCTGGACGGACCTCATACCGCTGGAATGTGTGGAACACGATGACGTTAGCGTGACCATATCGTGGAACCTACCATTGGCGTGGGAAGATCGCCCGCTAATTGACGTGACTTGAGCAAAGGCCAAGAGGGAACTGGTGGATCTTCTCCATCATCGTCACTCCGTCGTGGCTTCCCATCGCGGATGGGACAGCACCGGGATCAGCTGGATTGGTGCCCCGTCAGACGCATACAGGGAAGCTATGTTTTGCAAACAATGTTATGTACTCTCAATTGAAGTATACGTATATCATTCTTCTTTCAATTAGTGAGCTACGACGCTCTGTATGCCACAAAATGCGACACGGCTTACTCTCGGAAACGGCCTCACGTGAGCGCGCGATGAGATTCGCGATGGCTGGGGTCTCTACGTGGCCCGGTAACCATGACCCACGCGTGTAGCCACGTCCATAGCGCCCTTGTGGAAGCATCGCCCACGCGCATTGAGGCTTGCTGTGGGCACGATCCTATGCAGTTTCGCTTTCGGGGTATATATTCGGGGCATATCTAGGAACACTGTAAGAAGCACGATGTGCATTCGCACCCTACAACGAGGTTGCGTCCTACAACGGGGTCAAGAGTCGATATGGCCAGATACGCGTCTCTCCCTCGTTGCGGGAAGATGGCGCATCCAGCTTTCTAGGCGCATGTGATGTATAAGCAAGATCGAGCGGTCGGTCTTCGCTGCTTTCGATCGGATTCGATGATGTTCTACAAGATTGGAAACGTAAACGGCGAGCATGAACCTTGGAAGAGAAGCCGAGGTCGGAGCCTGACGATGGATCGCAAGTGACTGCAAGCATGCGGTATGGAGTGAAATTTGAGAAAGAAAGGATTGAAACGGATTGGTGTACTGGAATCGAGCAGCAATTGAAAGAAAGACGGGGGTTGGAGGCGGATTGGCAGTGTCGCGTGTTGCCGAGGTTTTGCCATCGGGGCTATCGGAGGAGCTTGGGCGGTGATGATGTCGAGATTCGGAAGGATGCTGAGCAATTCATACGCCGCCACTACAACCTGTCAACCTTCATTGCACCCCACCCAACCCTCTTCTTAGATTTCCCGGTCATACTACGAGTGCCACGTATTCCCACGTGCACTCTTTCCATTCTTTGTATAGTATTACCACCACCCACGCCGACATAACGCCATTTCACCATGTTCCACGGACAGAACTTGCCGTGGCGGGCGGCCCTTCGTCAGGCTTCACGATCGAATGCGAGGACTATCACTACTAGAGCCTCGTCGCGCCATCTCCCCGCACAATGCACGGCATCTCTGGTCGCCCGAACACACCACCGATGTTCCTCGCCGCCCGCCGCGCTCTTCGCATACCGCAGTTTCTCCACATCATTGAGTAGACGGAAGGAAGATGATACAAAGGCGCCACCAGAGCCGCTGGAGGAGGCCAAGGAGGAAGAAACAGAAGAGTCCAAGAAGCTGAAGGAGCAGAAACGAGCAGAAGAGCTCGAGGGCAAGAGCGATGCGCCCGAGCCGATACCGCCAAAGGCGAGTTCTGGGCGAGGCAGCGCAGCAGGAGGAAGCGGTTCAGGCGGCGACGGCGGTGGCAAGAAGCGAAAGGGCGCCGAACGAGCCCTCGTCAAGCCTTCGATACCCGACGTCTACCCCCAAGTCATGGCGATACCGCTCGTCAAGCGTCCGCTGTTCCCAGGATTCTACAAGGCCATTACAATTAGAGATAGGGAGGTCGGACAGGCGATTGCGGACATGGTCAAGCGAGGACAGCCCTACATCGGTGCATTCATGTTCAAGGACGATGGTGCCGACAAGGACGTTATCCACGATCCCAGCGAGGTGTACGACGTTGGCACATTCTGCCAGGTTACGAGCGCATTCCCCGTGGGTGCCGATGACAACTTCGCCATGACCTGCGTCCTCTACCCGCACCGTCGCATAAAGATGACTGGTCTCAAGTCGCCACCCCAAGCGAAGGAGGAGTCATCTGTGGCTGAAAGCACACTGTGCGAGAGTGCGGACACCCCAGAGCCGGAGGCAAGCGCAACACAATCCAAGGGCGATGTCGTCGCTAGCTTCGAGGAGGCAACCGAAGAGGCCAAGGCAGCCCAGGGAGCGCTCGTACCCACCATCCTCAAGGGTCGCAATGTCAGCATTGCCGATGTCGAGAACATGGTTGAAGAGCCATTCGATCTGAAGAGCAACAAGACAATCCAGGTGCTGGTCAACGAGATTGTCAACACGTTCAAGGGAGTAGCACTGCTCAATCCGCTGTTCCGCGACCACGTCTCGACCTTCTCTGTCCATACCACCATGAACGTTGGGGAAGACCCTGTCAAACTCGCTGACTTCGCCGCCGCCGTGGCACAAGCCGAGTCGCATGAACTGCAGGATGCGCTTGAAGAGATGGACATTGAGAAGCGTCTCAGCAAGGCCTTGGAAGTGCTCAAGAAGGAGCTTATTAGCGCGGAATTGCAAAAGAAGGTTGCCGACGATGTTAATGCCAGAGTCACCAAGAAGCACCGCGAGTACATGTTGATGGAGCAGATGAAGGGTATCAAGC